TATTATGTTTCGCGATGTTGATAATTAAATTGGTCTTTTGATAAATTCTTCTAATTTTTTTTGTTTTTATAACGCTGTTAAGGTGTTACGTGTACGCGTAAAAACATGTTTTTAATTAGTTCTTCACAAAGGCGTATGTGTCTTAGGGTTTAYGTTATTATTTTTTGTTCTAACGATTTTTTTCCATCCTGCTGTGTTCATCTTTGAGCAAGCGTGACCCCAATCCTCAAGTCCCGTTCCTTCGGTCCTCTGAAATTACGTATGCGTTTGGCGAGTTATTTTCGCGCTATATACGCATTAACCTCTCCACCTCCGCAAACTGCGCATTGGCAAACTAATATATTAATACAGACTTGGCGTTTCGCCGATGCGATGAAAACCGAAAACCCGTCCTTCGGCGGTAGACAGCCGTGCGTGTTTAGAGTGTTAAATAATGATATTATAATATTAATATTATTATTATTATTATTATTATTATTATTATTATTATGACACTGCGTAAGACGGCGCCTAGTGTAGGCAATTGCAGTGCACTCGCGTATTCACCGCAGGAATACTACATACCTATAATACACATACTATATTACCAACTATTATGTTATATCCATTTACACGGACGATTATTATCTTTACCATCTAGGTGCATCGGTGTATGCCACGGTCAATGCAACGACGTGCTCGTGTGATGATGATGATAATAATATGAAAGGTTAAGATCGTAATGCGCATTGCGATAAAACTGCATTCTGCACTGCAGCGATATTCCGTCATTCGACCTCGGCGATTTCGAAATGCAATTTTCAATGTACATTTTGCACATTCATTATTTTTATTATGATACACTGCAGATGTATTGTAGACGGATTTAGCTTGTTATTTCTTTTAGAAATTATTATTTTATTTTTTCGTACGCGTATAGAACGGGGTTACGCGGGCGCTATTTGGCTATCAATCTATCGATTCTATCGTTTCCTTCTCTATTGCTGTTTAAGAACGGTCCCGTGATTTTAACGTTCGACTACGATATCGCGCATTTGTTTTATCGATGTTGAGCATCCCGTTTTATTTCGCTCGTCGCATCGCGTAATCGGCAATTGACTACGTACCTGTAGTGTTTATATCTATTATTCCACAGATAAATGCGAGTTTAAAAACGACCGAATATATTGAAAACTGTGAAGTGAATCGCAATTGAAGCTATAGCGTATTATAGATAAAACGTCGTTAATTTCCTCAGTAGTGTTCTTAAAACCAACAGGACAGGCAATAATATAATATGGCTACATAAACCGTAAGCACTTTTCGTTTGTCTTTACTGCCCGTTCTTAAACTTTAGATATGTACAATATAATTCTGTACTTTACTTTGTTGAAGGTCCCGCAACGGTATTCGATTTTTACAGAAATAAATAAAAATAGGTAAAAAGTAGTACAGGTTTCTATAACGATGACGACGGCTACAAATAATAATAATGGTCGTGGTCGTTTTTCAACATTTGCCGACCATTAAAATATTGACTGATCGATATATCGGAAACGATATTGAATATTATGAGTATCTAGGGTRGTGGTGAGGAGCGAAGGCCTTTGCAAGTTCTATGTTGTTTTTTTTTCGTTCCCTAAACAGCTAGTCGATACATGATATTTATGTACAATATATTTTATATACCTGCTGTATAGTGTGTAACTATGTACGAAAAAATGGACATTATTATATTTCCAACCTAACCTAACGTGGAAATCTATGCAATATATATACAGAGTTATTATCTTGCCGTTCTTGTCCACATAGATATTTTTTTTTTTACCAATAAACATGTTTGAAAAACAATGTTAGAAGATAAATACTGTATTTGTGAGCCATCATGCCATTATTATCATAAATCATAATAATGTTTGCTTTACTCAAAGTAAAAAAATAAATAAATAATTGTTTCATAAACTTTGGGATACCTGATTTATAGAGCTAATATGTGTAAATATTTTATAAGTTGAATTGTTAATTTCTATTAACTATTCAAATACGATTGGGGAAGTATATTATATAAAGTTTATATACATATATATTATATATATATATTGAAAATACGCGTTGATACGCAGTCATATAATATATACATATAAATAACGTTAAGGTTAAAACCAAATAAAACAATTTTCTGTCATTAAGCATATCTCTATTAAACAAATATTATTTTTATTGTATTATTATAGCTGCGTATAAGTTAATTTTCTCATCGGTCACTTACACATCCGATATTCGTTTTCATATACCGAAGTTCGTCTTGGTGTATCTAGTTATCATTTAATTTTTCTGCGTGTAAACTTAGGTATTGAAGCTCATTTTGACTTTATTGTTATAAATCCAACCTAAGTTATTGTAATCCATATATTTAATATGCAATAATAATAATAAATAATACCCACGTTGAAACGACCAAATATGGGTACCACGACTGGTGGCACTGTCAATTACATGCTTTTGTGTATACATATATATCGTACTAACCTAACCGACGGTGACGGGCGTAGAGGTTCACACCGACATCCTATAAATTTGGCCTTTAGATTTTCACTCGACGATCTCAGACGGACACGTCCGCTTCCGGTCATTAAAAGGCTTTCGACCCAATTAATCCCGGGCCGCTGCCGCCGTTGCCGGATACGTCTTATCCAAGGGAAAATTTCCAAGAGAGAGGAAACGCCAAACATAAATCTGACCTTTGGACTAACTTAATGGGGGGTAACGCGTTCCGGAGTATGAGTGAGCTATGAACCACCATCCCGTGCTGAGCTGGTGGTTGGGTGGTAGAATAGTGGAGGATCAAACGCATAATATCCTATAGCATGGATTTGGTCCCATAGCAATGTATAGTAGTGAGAGGTCATCCAATGGCGATTTGCTTCTCGTCATCACCACGCAGCCTTAACTCTGCAATTTGTCACGCTACATGACCAATTCGATATCCCAACGATGTCATAATAATTATATATATATATATAATATAATATTATATAATGTGCTAGAGACCGTGCGATCAAAATATCAATCTCCGGTGGTCGGCTATATCTATTATTTATAGTTTGCCTAATCGAATATTATATAATATACCTACATTTCATTTTACCGACTGAGGATATGCACGAAATATTATTACAATGTAATTACATTAATATATGTTTTGAGCCGTTCCTCTCTGCACTTTGACGAATCAACGTGTTATTGATTTATCATTTTTATCAAACAAAATCGATCAAATACTTGAAAAAAAAACTAATAATTTAATATGATTTATAATATGTAATTACATAGTAAAGTACTATATTGATGTTTAAAAAAGACTGTCAAATAATAAACAACGAGGTATGGAAAAAATGCACCAATGTAAAAAGTTGGATTTAAACTTTAAAGATTTATCGAAAACAGAATTCGAACTCGCTAATTATTATTTGTGTTGATCAAATATATAGTAGGTCGTTTGAAAGAAAATGAATTAAAATTTAACGAATTTATATACCCACACAAACAATGTTAATCGGCTGATTGCTACGTACACACTTGCACGTCCACGTCTATTGTTTACGGGTTTGTAAAACATCACTTTGCATTGTTAACACTTAATATATCATGTCCCTTGTGCTAAAGATGTTTTTGCTCACACGACTGTTTGTATATTACTGTTGATTTATAGCCTTGTCGTGATTGCTAAGCATCGCAATCAATGTACCTGAACAATGCTGCAATCGCAGTGTTTCGTTACCAGACGCATTTTTCACCAATCGAACATGGGCATTTAACATTTGCGGTATAATTAGTAGTGAACCGATTCCACCTACCTATGTCCTATAAATTTTATATTTGTATGTAGTGTATAATACAGACACTCGTCGTCCTTTCACTATAAATAATGCAATACAACCCACCAACATTTTAATAGTGACATTTTTTTTTCGTTACAATATAGCACTGTGCCACGATTGTATAATGTGTACGTATATGTAATAATATATTGTTAATACATTATTTGCGTTGTATAATATTTAATATTATATTATACTTGTTCACCTCTTTTTGAATTAATTTTATAAACGATATTGCATAATATATACATACTAAATATTATTGTATCTGAAATTTGGAAAATAAAAATATAATTATTGTAGTTGGAATATTTATTCCTCGATTTAATCCTTAGATTTTCCAGATCCTATACAGATTTCTTTCCATCAAATATTTTAACCAATTACAAAGTCTATGAAAGAGACTATAATATATGCTCTTAGGTCAAGTCCATTGTTTATCGTCTAGAACGACGGTTTGTTTGTATGCGTTTGATAGTTGTATTTGAAACGTCATGGGTACCATTATAGATTTTCGTTACGTCCTATTCTATTTTGATATATAATACCAATACCTAATAAACAGTATAGACAACACGTCCGATATTCACTTTTAGATATTGTGTATAGTTAACCCCGCGTGTTTTCCAAAATAGATATTATTGTGTTTAGAATATTGATAGGGAATTTCGTGTTGGCGATTACTGCGCACGTCTGTTTAATTAGTTTCATATTTGAAATAATTAATGTACACACGTTGAGATGAATTACTCAATTACGCGTCAGAGCATTTCCACCGGCTATTGAATAACGTGGCTTGTTTGACGTACATATACACACGGCGCTGATGAAATCATGGCCGTCAGTCGTTAATTCGTCATTCCGTACGATTTTCGTGTCTGCAACATCCTTCAAACGTATTTGCGTAACGTTTGACTCTGAATTTCTCACAATTCTGATGAACTATTCGCGAATGTAAATTGTTCGGAAGTTGATCGATCCCGGTGCGACGCTGCCGCTTCGTATAACTAAATAAATATCAATAAAATATTTTGAACATATAAATAAGTAATAACATTGTCGTTAATGACCATTATAACATATTGTATATGACTACCTATATATAATAATATTTATATATCTATGATTTTTTCCCCTCAGCTCATCTCAAAACTCAGCTTGAAGAGTACTCGGAAAACTATCCAAAAATTAAAATCGTCCGCGCCAAAAAAAGAGAAGGACTTATACGAGCCAGGCTGATGGGTGCGAGGTACGCATCCGCACCCGTTCTCACATATCTCGACTCGCATTGCGAGTGTACCGAAGGTAAGTCCCGTCGACATCGGAAAAAATAAAATAATATAAAACGATGTTAGACGACGTCTTATATATATATATACTTATATATTTCATTTCGTCTCGGATACTTGCGGATTTTCGAAATGGCAATTTACGCGAGAATTTAGTGGTCAATAACAAAACGCGCGCGACAATCTCAGCCCGAAAATCTGTGCCAGAAACAATAAATTTCAATATCATCGCTTGATGTTCATCATATTATTATTATCCCGTACCGTCCGGAGAATATAACGCAGCCGGCAGACGTAATAATCATTATTCGTCTGAATTGTTTCGAAATCCGTTCGTACCCGTCGCATGTTATGTCGTTTAATGTATATTTATGTATACTATATATATATATAGTCCGCACACGACCGTTGTTGCTTTTCATCATAACACATACCTCCATATATGATATAAAGTAAATGGGCTTTTATTATTTTTTTTATTTGGAATCGCTTTTACACTTATTCGAGGTCTTGTCGTGTGTGGTATTGTGAATGGCATATTATTTGGCAACAGCTTTGCTAACGTTTCCATATATTTATAATATAGATAGTATATATATATATATATACCATCAGGCGCGGCTTAACGTCTTCGCGGTCACTTCGATTTATTCGTTTAACCACGGCTTATTTTTATTGTTTTTTTACATCTCATCAATATTTTTTCCTTTTCTGTCGGCCGAATAACTTTTTGATCAGTTTCAGAAATTATATCAATAATTCTATATTTAATTCCAAGTTCGCCAATTCTCATACCAATGGTCCATTGTATTCTGTTAATGAGCTTTAACCTTTGAATTCATAAATACAAAATAATGTATTTTATACTTTTATCTTCACACTTTCCATTAAAATATAAAATACCACTATATAGTATATATATCGTTTCATTTCGAATAACATTTTGTTGATATTAAAAATTTTTTAATGTAGGTACTAATATTTGCACATAGTTAAAGTTGGTAATTTTATCAACTGTAATATAGTAATTGCGTAGGTAGGTATTAGTGTTTTTTTACAAACTTGTTTAACAGGAATTGAAAAACTTCTCCCCTTATATTAGTGTGCAAAGTATTTTTTTAATTTAATTTAATAGCGCCCGGTAAGTTCAAAATATAACAATAGGATTAACTATTCCACTAAAAATCAACGTTACTTTAACTATCGATATTGTTCTGAAATATGAGGTTATACATTTGGGGAAAAAAAAATATTCAATATAATACATTAAATATGCCTAAAATGCAACATTTTGCACTCGACATATTAAACTTGATTTTCCCGTAATATTAAATTTTATCAACTGTCATAATATTATAAAGCACAACCCCATCATTGGGTATATCAGTCCATCGAAATATTTCACACTCCCGTCTGGTGGTATATAATTATAATAGCGAGTTATGGTGCATATTGTAACAATTTAGTGTTATACTAACAGATTATATAGTCAAAACTATATAATATCCGTATACGTTCTCGTGCGATTGAAGCGTGCAATGGTTTGTGACGACTTTGGTGGCTATTGTTGTTTTTATTTCTCAGGATGGCTTGAGCCATTGTTGGATCGGATTGCTCGAGAAGCGTCGACCGTCGTGTGTCCGGTAATCGACGTAATCGATGACTCTACGCTGGAGTTTCATTACAGAGACGCTGGTGGCGTGAACGTCGGAGGATTCGATTGGAACTTGCAGGTATGAACTTACCTAATTATTTATTAAGTAAAAAAAAAAAAAACAAAAAACATAGTTACGTCAAAAGATAATAGATGTATATTATTATGATTTCCATTTACTACGTGCACGTAGTATAGAAGTCGAGAGTCAAGACGGACTATGAATTACTACGACCACTCGACCGTGGTTGATGTTTTTTTATGGCATATTATAATACATACAGTATGTATTATTATTATTATTATTATGTTATGTACATAAAACGGAATAAAGCTATTGTAAGCGACCCTTTCCCTCCCACCGTTTATACCCTGTATAAATATTCGCTTAGCTTTGCGGATATTTCGTCTTCTGGAAAAAAAAATATAAAAAAATTGTCTTTGTTCCTTTAAGCGCGCGCCGCGTTAATTAAAATCAAATAGGACCTTTTTTAAGCACCTAATTTCAAATACGGGTTTATTATGGGAAATCCTCTAGAGTCTTTTGAAACGCGAAGTCCATTATATTAAGTATAGGTTTACACGTTTAAAACTGACTATGCTCGTAATGTAACTAATCCACGAGTATATGATATATATATATATATATTATATAGGTTTAATATAATGTATATATGTTGTCTTGATTCGATTGACAGGCTTAACKTATCAAATATATGCACGTTGACAGTTTTTAAACAATAATTGGAAGACGTAGTCTATTAATTTAATTAAAGTCTGAAATCTTATATCGAATATAAAATATACTGCGTTGCATCACTGTTGTCCGATGACGTCAATATTTTGTGCATTATTTASAAAACGTTCGAATACTATTTAATATATTCTATTATYAGATATATATTACATACGTGGCCAAAGTATATATAATTATTTGGCACAGTAATAACGATAATTTCGTAATTCCGATACTGGGCGGATTATTTACATATACTATTAAAAAAATCAACCTGTGTTTAGTTGCGAATATTTTTAATCGGAGAATATACAATTTGTATAAATTAATTGAAATTCTGTAAATTTGGAGAAAAATGTTAGCAGAATATTATATAATACACTTATTATAAGTAAACGAATGAACATAGAATATTGTCGTAAAACATTATTACGTTTCGTCGACTCCATAACGAAAAAAAAACAAAGTCCAACAAGGTGGAAAATCGAATCTTCTGATGTAAAATTACGTTAGCCAAACAATTTTTTTTTCACATAGAATGTTAATGCACAACAAAAATAAAGAATAATGTACGTCTATACGGCGTGGAATCACTAAAAAAAAGTAATATACGAGTAAATTTCCAACTATTTTCAACTTATATATTATACGCTTACCCAGTTGATATGATTTTCTGTTAAAGTATAAAATTCATCGGAAACCTGTTTCCAGCCAATACGCCTAAAAAATATTTACTAGTATTTAACCGATTATTATTAATATGTGTGTTTATATTAAAGTGTTCAGGTAGGTACTAGGGTCGAATATATCGTTTAAGATATCACACGTGATATATATTGCCGACAAATTATTGCCATCGACGGTGCCTTCGCCGCTAATACCGGTCTGACCAGACGCGAAATTTCGGATATAATTATATGCGTGTGGTCATGAACAAAAACGGCTTATTTGAATAAAATAATAATATGAATCACCATCATTGGCATAAATTAAAGGAAATTCGGCAAACAATATTGCAAACCAGTTGTATTAGAATTCAGATAATAATCGTACGATGCAAAGCCGTTAAATAAATAAGACCGTGGTTATTGTATCATCACAGCAGCATCTGTTAAAAATTATTTATCCAAATGACAGTCGTCGATTGAACCTATATATAGGGTATTCTAAATCTTAGTCGTCATGTAAAGATATGTTACGCTAAAACTCTGACCATTCCTGTATAGTGGTTAATGATCTCGAATGATTCGCGTGCGGAAAACGGGTAATTCCCTCGAGTTACATCATCGTCTTAATTGCAAACCCTCAAAACTGTGCTCGTTTAGTATGATCGTATTCGTATAGTAATTAATTTACGCCAAATACATCTATATACCACATTCGCGTCAGGTTTTTTCGGTTCGGGGCCCAGTCGAGTCGGTCGGTCAGGCTCAAAAATATCCTAATATATTTTATAGAGATATTTGAGATATACTTTACGTATGTGTATATATTTTGTATACTACGAGGTGTATGTACATATATATGTACATATAGGCATAAACTCGACGCCAATGTTTGGCAAACAAATTCGTCGCTAACGTTTTTGTCGTAGGTACTCTGCGCTGCGGGATACCTGATAACGTGGACCGCGAATGATAATTATTATCCTGGTAGTTCCGGGCGATATATATATACACCTATATGATGAGGTTTTTCGGGACCAGAACACACACAAATCGCCTGCCGCGCGCGCGTTAAACATCGTCCTGGCAACCACCGACGGACCGACGTACACGTGGGCGTGTATACCGCGTGTTCGTAATATAGTGCAGTGTGTATGTTGTTCTGGTTTTTTTCAACTCCACCGATACTGAGATAGTGTACAAAACTCAAACGTATACTGTTACGGTTACGCCACAATCAAGTATTATTCATTACGCTTGGTAGGTACATATTATATTATATTGTACTGCATTTAGATGATCGATTTCATAAAACTATCATTTTTAGAATATTATAAACCTCCTCAAATTTCCTAAGACATTAAAAAATAGATTAACTATACAGTACAATTTTATAYCTTACACTGTTAGGTACACACTGCGGATATAAGTTTTGCTTTGTATTTTAATTCACTAAACTTTCAATAGGATTGGGTAGCCAATTCTAAATTCTCATCGTCAAAAAATCTTTTTCTGGCATTTTAAATCATCTCTTCAGCGCCGCAGTTTCCTTAATTCACWGCGTTAACAYTTACAATAATTTGCTTCGAAACTATACGAACTCAAAAATTATTTAGCCAAACGATAATTATTATTGAATAATATATTTCATATTATGTTTCAGCATCATATAGTATGTTTATCTTGATACAAGCTGGATTAACTAAATAATTTGTGACTTGGTGAGTGCTTAGCCCTCTTGCATCTCCCCCCCCCACCCCCACGCATATATGTGCCTCGTCGATGGTCATAAATAACTGTGCTAGTCTGGTTATAGGAGTACAGCAGACGATCATTTGACGCATTTCGACGTCATGATTGCGGTGTGGTAACAACACAATACTAACTATTGTTTAGACGGAATTTAGTCGTACGCAATATAGTAAACAGATTGTCGGTTTAAGTATGATTTTTCTCTACTGCATTCGCTTAATCGAAGTCACGTCCATTTTCGTTGCATGAAATATCGTTTTCCCATAATTTCTGTCTTTTTGGTTTGTTTTATTATGTTCCTCTAACTATCGCAACTCCGGTCGATACCGCTAACATTACAACCGTTCGACACCCAATCTTATATTTTCTTAATATTCAAAAATATTGATCCACATGGCAAAGGTTTATCCCGCATTTAAATTAAAAATGATGATTTATATAAAATAAACATAATCAAGCATTTTATTTTATTGTACAATTTAAAGAGATTTTATAATAATTGCACACAGAAGTACACATATATATAGACACCGCAAATCCGACTTAAGGATGCGATGTATGTTTAATACGCGCGTGGTCAGTTAACGCGGTGACCGTCCCTTTTTGTATTAACATTCATGTTATTATGGGTATTATATATAGAGGAACCCATAATATTGGTATAATTAGTGCAAGTAATTATATTATTGTGTGTCGAGTTGTGGCAAATCCAACTGTCGAACAAAGTTATGCAGAAAAAAACAAAACGTCACGTTGACAGGTTGGCGACGATGACGACTACATAGTAGTGATTTATAGGTACTCATTTGCTTATTTCGTGTTTGTTTTTATTACGCACAAACAAACCATACGAAACAAAATAAGTGTGTTTAGGTACCCTTTCACTTCGGTTTATTACTACAACAGTGTACGCTGCTATAGAATCAAAATTAAAAACGCAAAAATTGAACTCAGCATTTCTATTCAAAAGCCAAGTTTATTGTGTTATATGCTCTCTATATAAATATGACGTTCGTGTGTACGTATAACATATAAGTATATTATATTTATAGTAATAATACCAATCCCGGTCCATCGAAACAATCCCTAGAGCTTTTATAATAACGACCAGAGYTCTCGAAACGACTGTACCGGTGTGGTAGAAATTAAAATTCGTCTCTGCTTGTATATTTTTAATTTAATATATCGTATGTACATACGTCCGGTGGAATACAAACGTATAGCAGCTTTTTCTAGTGACAGTCGAATCCCACTACAGTCGGCGGAGTTTATTTTAGTTTGTTAAAAAAAAATATTTATTATGTTATACGAATAGTATTTATTTACATTCTTTTTTACATCTGTCACTGTTAAGTTACATTTTTCGCATAACAGTGACATCGTTATAACTATAATTTGTGCTTTAAATTATTCGTAATTATGATGTTAATATATTATATAGGTATTACCTTTATAGGAATTCGCAGAAAATATTTTGATAATAAAAAAAAATGTATTTGTGTTTCCTTTAACAATATATATATATTTATGAAAATATTAGTGAAACTAAAACAAAAAAGTACGGTGGATTCACTAAACAAAAATCGATATATTCTAACGTAGTTATATATATAATAAATTCACAGCTCTTTTTTTACTTGCAAAAAATAAACATGAACCTATAATAAAACCGTGTAAATGACTTCTATACATATATCATCCTACTCCCTATGATGGCGACCCAGCTGAGAGTTATTTTTCTGAACAAAAAAATATATATGTAATAATGTACCTATTTCAGTTTATATTTTTTATTTCATTCGATTACAATATAGTATTATATCCCATCTGGGTCCTCGGAACAAGAATTAACAATTGAACACTAAAACTCAATACACCATGGTTGTATACGCTCAACACATGAACGTGYATGATCAAAGGGTGAAA